GGGACGTTGATCGTTGAGAGAAAGAAAAAACAAACGGTGGGCACTTCTCGGGACACACGTGAAGAGTACTGAAGAGACGTCTCGGCGGTCTTTGGAGGAACACTACAACGAGCTTGCTCTGAGATGTAGGGACAGGGGCGGCGTTTTATTTAATATTCATGTACTCGACGAACTCGTGGGGAGCAGGGCGGGGGGCTCAGATGTGCCCACTACGGCTGGGATCGGCCGATCGCTCGACTCGATCGCCTCAAAAACAAACGTGTGCACACTACGGCTGGATCGGGCCGATCGCCCGACTCGATCGCCAGAAACTGAAGACAAACACGTTTGTTTTTTAGGCGACCGAGTCGGGCGAGATCCCATGCGTAGCAGGCGATTGAGTCGGTCTATCGGTCAGATCCAGCCGTAGTGGGCACCCCGTATTAGTCTGAATATATACTGCCACGCACAACTGAAGTACGCCGCGAAACGGACGAGCAGCCAGGTCGGAAGTGGTGATCCCATAGGCTGTCCCCGTGGTTTTTTGCACCCCGCATAATTAAGCAAAATTTTATCATTTTTGCATAAATTCTTATTACTTTCCTTTATCATTCTTTGTTAAAATTTGCAGAATCGCATAATGTCGTATTTTGGGGCGCAATTTGCATAACTTTTGAATTTTTTTGTGTGCATAAACCGTGGGGACAGCATTGGTCAGCGCGACTCCGTCCGACTGTGTAAAAAAATGGCGCTGAGCAGGCGTGAGAAACTTTTTGTGTGGTGGCTGTGGAGAAGTCAATGCTCCAGATTCTGATCAGCCAACCAAACAATGACACGCGGCGCACACGAAGCTTGGCGACCTTTGATAGACGGATTCCTGGAAAACCAGACTCGCCTTTTCCGATAACGCGAGCCAGATTTCCAGGAACTTTGCCGCCTGTGTAAGTCCTCGGAAAATGCCAGGTGTATTGCAAGGACATGTATTATTTATAGTATCACGTAGAAGAAATGAATTTGATTCGTTGGTAGTTGGCAGGTGCTCTGGTGTGGTTTGCTCCTTCTTTCCTGTCAAGCATATATCATTTTTATCTCCCCTCCTTCTTTTTTTGTGTTTGTTACTCCCTTGTATCATCTCTAATCTTCGGCACTTATATGAAAGTTCCATAAAACTCTTACGAAAAAAAAAAGATCCCAAACGAATTCGCTTCCCGAGTTGGGGGAGCTGTAATCTAGTTATCATCCGTCTTTCTTCTGTGCTTGAACGTTGTACATTCATTTATCTATCCCTCTCGGCCCGGCTTGGCCCTGACAGACAGGTGAAAGCAGCCCATCTCCTCGATGATCTGAATTGTATCGATGGGGCCGTAGACCTCCTACAATTACACAATGTTATAACATTTCAATTTCATCATATCATGTTTTCCTTTCGTTTTAGTGGGTGGTTGGAGGGTGCCACTGGTAGGTCCTACTTCTTTATTTTCCATTTGCTGTTTCTGTTACTTGCCCTCTTTTCCCGATGTACCAAATAGTCGTTCTTGTGCCGATATGCTTCTTTTTACAACCAAAAAAAAAAAAACCCCTGAAAAAAAAAGAGAAAAAAACCTCCAACAAAACAGAACAAACAAACAAACACCCCCCCTCCCCTTCCGAAAAAAGCACCCTAACAATCCAACTTTACAAAAACAATTGTTGTTGTGCGTTTCCTGCATGCACCTCCTGTCTTGAGTGCAGGAGCCAGGTATGTGGTGTCCAGTTTCAGGACGACAGAAAAAAACAAAAACAACACAGCTTAGCCGAGTGTCATGTCCACTGTTGTTTTGCATTCATGTGTGTCATCAGAGACTATAAAATATAATTAAATACTCTCTGGTGTCATGTTACGCCATCGGTTACCGTGGATTTTCTCTCCGAAGCTATTCTTTATAGCAGGTTACTGTTTGTTCAGCAGACTGTTGGTAAGGGGCGCTTGTGGGTGGATGGCGGGTGCTCTGGTGTGCTTTGCTTCTTCTTTCCTATCAAACATCTGTCGTCTTTATATCCCCTTCTTCTTTTTTGTGTTTGTTACTCTCTTGTAACACCTCCAATCTTCGACACTTATATGACCTTATTGTGTTGCAAGTGCCGTAAAACTCTTACGAAAACTTCTTATTTCCTATCAAACATCTGTCGTCTTTATATCCCCTTCTTCTTTTTTGTGTTTATTACTCTCTTGTAACACATCTAATCTTCGGCACTTATATGACCATATTGTGTTGCAAGTGCCGTAATAAAAGATAGCATTTATTTCTAGCGCCGTGAAACCCCTACTTAACTTAACTAAAAGATAGCATTTGTATAGCGCAAATCCCTGCTCAACAGCAAGCTCTATGCGCTTCACAATCTATACAATTACCCCAGCAGACCCAATTTAAGAGCATTTTGAAACAACCTAAACTTCCCGACCTTGTGTCTGTCTGTCTGTCTGTCTGTCTGTCTGCTTGTCTGTCTGTCTGACTGTCTTACTTTTCCCAGCACTGAACTACCATTGTTGTTGAGAGGTACATTTCTTTAGCCTACTCAAACTCAACTTTTTCCTAACCAAAAACAGAACAAAAAACCCTTGCTTTTCCAGAAGTTGGAAAATGCCGACATGTTGTCTAGGAAGTTTCGCTTGACGTCACAAATTGGGAACTATGGTGAGAAAAAAATCTCCCACAACGAAACAGGATACAATCACATTTCTGAACTAGATCAAGGCTAATGTGTCAAAAGGTGTTATGTTTGGGAACTTGTTTGGTTGGGGGGTTTTTTTTTTGTTTTTTTTTGCCTTGCTTTTTATTGTTTTTGTTGTTGTTGGTTGTGGTGGTGGTGGTGTTTTTTTTGGGTTTTTTTGGGGGGGGGGGGCAGGAGCAAAAAAGACAGACAGGAACAACAGGGGGAAAGAAAAAATGTTAAACCTACAACCCACCCCACACCCCAACCAGGGCAGTGCTACTGACTGATGTCTTTAGGCCATTCCCAAAAGGGGGATATTATTTTTAACATGTTCTTATGCACAGTAGAATTGTAAATGGGCTGATTTATCAATGTCATGTTTGTACTGTGCCAGAACAACACTGGGGGAACTGCTGCTTTTTCTTTCCTCATCTTTACAATCGTCACTTTTCCTCTACTTCTTTTGTATGTTTGTCACTCTCTTGTGCACTGCTATTTCCGGGGTGCCTTGATAGTCAAAGAAGACTTTTTGCTGTTGAGGCTAGAGTGATGAGCAGAGTAAGTCTGATTCCCCGTTTGGACTTCTCTGTTGACATCCACCCCTTGGCGCTCATATGACCTTATGCAGTTGCGAGCGCTATAAAACCTTACTAAAACTAAAGTTACCATGTGGTGGTTAGGGGTTTATTTTTGGGTGTTTTTCATGTAGGTCTTGCTTTATTCCTTTCCCACTGTTGTTCCTGTCTATTTATCTTGCTTCTTCACTGCACTATATAAACGTTATGTGTTGATGTGCATTTTACTCAAACTGTGGGTGGTTGGCGGGTGCTCTGGTGTGGCTTGCTCCTTCTTTCCTATCAAACGTCTATCGTCCTTATCTCCCCTCCTTCTATTTTGTGTTTGTTACTCTCATGTGACACCTCTAATCTTCGGCACTTATATGACCTTATTGTGTTGCACGTGCCGTAAAACTCTGACTAAAAACTTAAACTTACTCAAGCTAAAACCAAAACTTGTTTTTTCCCTTTTCAGAAACAGTCTCCCGCCAGTAGAGAGGCAGGAAAGCGCGGTTCAACCAAGAAGGAATACATCGTGGATGAATCAATTCCAGATTTTGCCCTGAAGTATTTGACCCGACACAAGATACGGTCGGTGGAACAACTGGTGGCTGATTTTTGTGCGTCTACCAAAAACAAAAACAGGGCTGATTTTTGTGCATCTACAAAAAACAAAAACAGATTGTCACCAGAAAAGGATGTAGGCAAGATTTGCAGTAACTGTTTCATCAAATGTGCATCGTCTTCTGACAATGTCTGCAGCAATTGCCCTAGTCAAGAGTTCTTCAGTTGTTCTACTTTAGCTCAAGATCTGCGTTATCCTCTTCGCTCAAAGAAAGAGAGCCCCAAAAAGCGTCGTTCTAACAGATTTTCAGTGAATAAAGTTATGAAGTCTGGTAAAGTAAGATCCAACTACCGTCCAGCTGCTCAAGTGCGAGGTTCAATAGCTGATGGAGGAAGTGATAAAAAAACATTGCAAATCAAAAGACGGGAAGGGCTTTCTTCTCTCGTCATTGCACCAGAGTTTCCTGCAGTTGTGCCCGAGGACTCTGATGGAGACAAGACTCCGGAATATCCCCTCCCAAAGGACTCACAGTTCTCGACGCTTCAGTACAAACAGATGCTCCTGGATACCACTGTCGCTCGACTGGAAGCTAAAAACTTAAAGCGGCGAGTCGGTAGTTGTGAAAGTAGCCAGGGGCCAGTCAATCCTCGGGACCACGCTGAAGCTGCCCAAAAATGCTCAGATTCTACGAAAGAAGTCTCGACATATGCTGGAAAGGCATCACGTAAAAATGGTGTCATGTATACCAGCACACTCCTTCCGCCTGGGAGTGCTGTAAAACCAACAGGAGGACCCAGAAATGTGGGAAAAGAGCCTCCCTCTCCACGCCAGCACATAAGAATGCGAATTCGGGTCAAGACTCCGCCAGAAAAGCAGGCGGCCCTAGAGCAGTGGTTAAATCATTCCGATCTCTCGTCGGACAGTTCCCCTGAGGCGTGCAGTCGGACTAGCCAAAAGAGGAGCTGTGGAAGGAGTCTCAACTTCTGTGGGGTGGAGGCTCGTCATGACCAGTGGCCCACAGAAATGCTTGCAGCAAAAAGTCCGTGTCCTGATGATGAACTTAAAACTGTCACCGACCCCAGTGCCTCTCAAGAAAACAAACATTGTACTGGTCACACACACCGTCCCAAAAATCATACCGTTAGAACAGACTCTTTAGGTAACAATCAAATAAGTGAATTCAGGCACGGCTATCATGAAAAGGACAGCGATTACGTGAATAATAATCAAAGTGACAAAAAGCATGATATTGATCGCCGGATTAATAACGACAAAGCAAGCTTTGACAAAAAGATGAAGCTTGCGGAAATGCAGCATCCTGTTTCTTCAGGTAAAAAAATGTGTGGTTCTCATTTCCTTAAAGGAAACATTGCTGCTCTCCATCTCTTTCGCAATGATAAGACTGCAGACATTAAACACAGTGGACAAATGGCAATGGAGTGCAAAAAATGCCATGGGACAAACTGTCAGTGTGTGTTTCGAGAAAAAAAGGAAAGTGAGAAAGACATGTCGTTGTCAGTGAGAGCGTTAACAGATTTCAGGCTGACTTGTCTCTCAGTGGTGAGGGAAAGACTGAGATCTATAACAGCTGAGTATTCTTTGCAGAGTGGGTTTCTGAGAAGTGAAAAATTTGAAGCAAGTCGGACTGATGTATGTCTGAGATTAAGTTCTAGTTTTTCAGACAGACAAGTTTCGGAGAGAAATGGTTGGGGTTTCCAAAAACCCTTTCCGTCCCCGCCTGCCTGCAAGTTGCTCCCCAAAGAAAGAAGAGAAGCTGATGCATCTTGTTCTCCTTTAAGACAAACGTCGCAATTCTCATCTACAGACGCTGGAAATGCTTTGCTTCCAGAGATGGACATAGATAAAACGGTCTGGGAAGACCAAGGTGAATCAACACCTCCAGGCAAGGATGGCAGTTCCGGTCAAGCAGAGTGTGGTGTGGACTATCGTATGTCAAACTACAATGAGCACAGTGCTTCGTGGCACATGTCGGAACATTCCAAAAATTACAGTCCAGAAACTTTGGACAACAACGACTCTGGCCCTCCTGTTCTGAGTAAAAATATTGAGTTGATGAGAGACTGTAATAAATCTGATCCAACAAAAATTAGCCATGATTCGAGCTTTGAACATGATACTGGTTTCGATGATCTTCCTATACTTGAAAAATATGTAATTGACGAACCAGCTCTTTGTCGTAGAAGAGTTAGTGAAGCGAGTGTAGGGAGTGACAGTGACAGTGACAATAGTTTGGCACTGGTGATAGATGAGCACAGTATTGCTCGAATGTCTGAAAGCCTCAGCTCACATTTGATCGACAAAGATAACACTGTGTCTGATGAGCAGAATAGGACAGCCTCACCTGAGAAAATGATCTTGTCATTACCCACATCTCAGTGTAGTCTTGAGTCCAAAATATCAGGCTGGACTGTATCTACTCAAAATGATTCAAGGAATCAAAACAAGTCATTGTTGTCAGCTCCGATACCTGACGACATCTCAATGGCAGTGCATTGTCACGGTGAGGATGGGGATGACAAAGATCCCCAGAGTGTAGCTGACCAAAAGTTGGAAACAAGAAGTGGACTCCATTTACAGGACTCTGGTGATAGTGGCAGGGAGAACTCAGGCCACAGAGACTGGCATGAAAATGTCATTCTGGGAGATAAAAACAATCAAATGATTGATGTTAGACCTTCGACTTTGAAAAATCTCAAGAAAAAGATAACTGGGGTGTCTCAAGTTAGCCCAGACATGACAGACAAAATGTCCGGAAAGACGGTGGATTTGAATCCGAGCCAACCACAATGGGTGAACGGTGATGATGCTGTACCAACTGCTAGACCTGTTATGCCGCCTGTAAATCGGCCACAAAAGAACAAAAAAGGCAAGCAAAAATCAATCAATCAAAAGGTGAAATCGCAAAAAAAGACATTTTCAACACAGGTCAAGCGAGCCCGTGCTGTGAAAACTAATGTGGACCCACCAAAGACAAATTCTCCGTCCAAACTGCAAGATTTGGCAAATGCCCAGGCAAGAGATATACCCTCAGCTAGTTCTGCACCCTCTGTCTTCTGTAACTCTAGCTCTCCTTTGTTCCAGACAGTTGTTCATAGACAACCAGAATCTGCAGCGAGTGGTAAGAAAGTTCAGAGGTCTTCAAAGTGCAAAACAGGCAAGAGACAGCATAAAGAATCTGTGAAAGGTCAAAGAAATGGCACCCCAAACAAATTGGAGAGGGGTGGTGAACCTCATTCGAAAAAGAAGCATCTTGAAATCCCCACTACATGTGTCTCACCTGGAAAGGGTCTTGCGGTGAATCCCCCAGTGACTTCCTCTCCTGGAGTCCCGTTGCTTACACACAGTCACTCGGTACTTATCAGTGGAGTTTCTGCTTCGCCTTCTCTCTCTACTGCCCAGATCCGACACGCCAAAATAAACACCACTTCAAGTGATGCACACTCAGTCGCTACAACCCCAGGGTACAGCATCAGACCCCAAACTCCATTGTTCTTGCCTCAAAGTAGGTTTCAGCTGGATACTGTGAATGGAAACTCAGCCCTTCAAAACAAAATGGGCCCTAATCCTATACTGCAAAAGCAAGGACAGAACCCAAATTACCTTGTCATTCCTAAGGGTGGTGTCCCGGTCTCAGTTCTTAAAGCCAACACACTTGGAAATCTTACTCTCCTCACGCCAACCACCTATCATAAACCTCCTGTTGCCTCTCATCAAAGCAATCGTCAGACTCTTCGCGCCCAGAACATGGGGCTGCCTTTTCCGCAACAAAATGTTAATGTCAATGTCATACCACAGAATGTCACAGCTTCCGTTTCCAAACGATACCTTTTAGGGCCTCCTCCTTTGCTGTTTGTTCCTCAACAAGCACAAGTGAGACTTCCTCCACCAGCACAAAGTAAGAGTGAGGCTTTGGGGAAAAACTCTGATAATCCAACGAATGGCACTTCTACTAACCCAGGGAACTTTCGTTTTCAGATTTGTAACTCGTCTCTTACTGGAGGTGAGGCACTGCCAAGGTTTTCAAGTGCTGTGCCTTCTGGCTGTGTTATGCGTCCCTTACAGGCAGGGGCCAGTGTTCCTATGCAGCATGGTGCTCTGTTACCTCCGAATGAGTTCTCCTCACATACAAAAGTACGACCTGAGAAACATGAACATTGTGACAAGGCTAACCCTTGGCTTTTAGCCAGTCATCTTGAGGCAAATGTTCAGGCAGTTCCAATGCTAACAAATGCCGAGACCTGTGCCCGTTCTCATTTGAATAGTGACACTACCCTGTGTTCTACCTCGAATCAAGGGACAGTTCAAAGAAATAGTCACCACCCGAGGGCCAGTGAGAGATGGATTACAATCAACACAAGCCGTGAAGTGATGCAAGCTGCTGTAGAGGCACCACTCGATCTCACCTCACCTCCCTTCCTGAGGACCAAGACTGCTCCTACTGACTTAGATGAATCCAAACTGCAGAAGATGTTGTCATCGTCATTGCCATCGTCTGCACAGCCAGCACGGTCTGATTGCTCCTTATCTTCCAACTTTGGGAACTCACTGACAGCTGTTCCTCGGACAATAGCATCACAAATGCCACTTCAAGCAACAGCGACCATGTCTGCTTCTGTGAACATCCTGAGCTCATCATATCCATCACCACTAACTTCATCTGTGGGCTGTGCACCGAGGACATCTTCGCCTTTGGATTATCCCGGCAAACGATGTCCCACAACATCTCTTACAGATTTAGCGGAAGCAGCACATGACAGGCCAAATAAATGCCGAGTTATCGAGAAAGATCTTGATGTGCCACAGAATCTTATCAGCTCAGGTCCAAGGTTTTCTGTGTCCAGTCCTTGCCAAAAGAAAATTCAAACGGAGATCAGGACCAAGGAGAATGAATTCAAAGAACCAGGCCCAATACTTCAAACGAGTTGTGCTGCCATGAATGGCCAACTGAACAATGAGCCTATTGTGAGAAAATCAGTAACAGTTGAACCTTCCCCAGGAGCCCCCAGTAGCACAACAATAGAGACAAGGGATGGTGACAAGCTGACAGTCGCTCAGCCACTTAATAACATATCCACTGCTCCGTCTCTTCTGCGTACTGTTCCCGAGCCACATTACTCATGTGCGACTTTGTCCTCTGTACAGTCACTGACCCTCACTGGTTCTTCTTCCACACCTCTTCAGGGAGCCTCTGACTCCCTTGGCACATCTGCACGAATGCCAGGTTTGCTGCAGTGTGCAGCTGCAGTGCAGAAAGAACCATCACCTTTACCAACAACATTGTTGCATCATTCTAGCGAGAGTCCTGGGGAAAGTGCCAGTAACGAGGTTATCACAACAAGACCAGAGCTCAGAGACACCTTGCCTCCTGCCTGTCAGCATAGAGAAGGGCCCCCACCAGGGAAATCACTGCCAACCCTCCCTCTACCATCAAGAACAAATGTCCCTTCTTTCGTTACCAACGCTGAACAATTTTCTTCTCACAGTAATTCTAAAGAGCAGGTGGGGATAAATTGCACACAGAGAGGCAAAAATGATTCTCCTAATGTTAATGTCCTTGTTGGTGTCACTGAGAACAGGGAAAGAACTGTTGCAAAGAGACCTCGCAATATAGGATTGCCTGTGAAAGATTTTTTCAGCAGCTCACCAAAGGGAAATACATATTCTTCTTTAATGTTGGCTGCAATAACTTCGAAGAATAAGCCATCCACACCCATTCATTCTGACGATGATTTGTTGCGACCCTTGTCTCACATTGACCCACGTCCAACTGAAATCAACGGCACGATCATTGACTTGACCGAGGATGATGATTGTGAAATAGTTGGTGTGACTATGGTGGGCACTGAACAAAACGAAGCTCCTGTGACAGTCAGTAAGGAAAGTGGAATTTCTTCGATGGATGGCTCCCCCATCAGAGTTAATGAGATAGAAATGGACACTTCCAGCAGCACAGTTTCTGCCCAGAATTCTCCGCGGCTCACTTACACCCCTGAAAGCTTAGCATCCAATGTGTCATCCCAGAGAACACCATCTGCTGAGCTCATGAACGAAAGTCTGTCACAGAATCTAGTCATTGACATTGCATCGCCGCGCTGCAAAGAATTCAGGGATAATATAGTGGGGCATCTTAATAACACACCTTTAGTCGCGTCTCAAGGAGTTTTTGGCAAGGATGTTTTTGTAGAAGAGAGTATTGTTTCACCTAGCAACAAGGATGTTTTTGTGGAAGAGAGTATTGCTTCTCCTAGCAACAGGGACATTTTTGTGGAAGGGAGTATTGTTTCCCCTAGCATCAGGCAATCATTTGTGCATCAGTGTGACACAGATGATGACAGAACAGTGGCAAAGCGGCAGTCACAGACGAGGCACTCTTCAGAGCCAGAAGCATCTTCCATCCATCTCGCAGGCAGGTGCAATCCTGTGTCGATAGAGGTCTCCGATAGTGGTTATAAAATTCCAGCTTTTCTGTATGATGACTGTGACTTGTCTAAAAGAACGACACCTTTAGACCTTAGGCACCACCATGCATCTTCTGCAGGAGGCGCTGCGCCTCACTGTGCTCTTGATGTTTCTATGGCGTCCTGTAATCAAGGGGCGTCAGAAGTTCCTTATAATTCACAAAGTACGCTTGATGTGCATTATGACGCTAATGAGCAGCTGGCAAATAATGGCATTAACTCTGGGTTTGGGTTTCTTTGTTCCAACTTGAACAGTACGCTGGATCAAGTTCAGGAATACGAAGAAAGGATTTACCAGATTCATGGAGTGATTAGCAATGAAGAAAGCGGTGATAAAAGACGCGAGCAGCGAAATATCCTTTCTGGTGTGAAAGCCAAAAGTGTTCAAAACAGAGGCAGACGCTGCAGTGCACCGTCACGCGCAAATAGAGGGAAAAGAGGGGGGTTAAACAATCAGCAAGTGCTGGGGAAGAATACCCAATCCTCTCGTCCGATGGTGACGTGTTCAGACAAGTCCCTTGTTCGTGGGGAAGATCGTACAGCTTCCTCCGGTGATATGATTATTGTCTCAAACTACCACAGCGCAGAAACTGGCAACACCGCACATGCCATCAATAGCGCAACTCTCAGCAACAATATCTGTCTTAACAGCGGTCAGAATGGCACTGTGGATGTCTCAGGTAATTTTCCCAGACAAAATTTAGATTTCTCGTACCCAACCACGAAATACAATGATGTGCATGAAATACCGAATGCTCAACCTGTGTCTCACAAGTTCGGGACACGCTCTTTCAATACTGTAACAGTCAGCAGACCTGAACCTCAGCTGTCACCTCTGCTTCTCACCGTCAAATCTCCTCCTGTTCATGGCATTACAACCCCAAGCATCATGAGTCCACCCCACTCCCAGGGTAATGGTCTCCCGCGGTCAGAAGCCAGTCACCAGTCTCCAACCCCTGGACTCCTCTCTCCTAAGCCTCCTGTCCCAAGGGTTACCCAAAATGTCCTGAAACTCTTACAGTTCAGACCGCCAGCTCCAAGGAAAGCTCCTCGTCCCAGCAATGCTAGCAGCGAGTTTGTTAATGTGGCCACCAAAGAACGTATTGATCCAGTACGAGCAAACAACTCTAGGGGAAGTTCTAAGACCACAACAAAGAATGAGGAGACTCTATCAAGGAATAAACATGTTCTTACGGAGACTGAAAAGAATTCTAATAAGCTACATTCAGATCAACAACTGAAAGATCTTAGTTCACATGAGAATACAGAGTCCACATTTACTTGTGGCAATGAAAGAAGCATGACCTTTGAGACTGTTTTTGTGGATATGGATGCACTTACGAAAGCCGAGATAGGACAGATGAATCCGGGGAATTCTGTCAAAGAAGCATCTCATAACTACATGGACATTGAGAAGTCTGTAGAGGCGACAGAAATTTCTTCCATTATGATATCTGAGGGGGCTGGAAAGGGGAAGGACATCACGGAGAAAACCATTGAAAATTTATCTCCTTCTGATCGATCTGCTCTGACACTGATCACAGAGATATTTTCATCAGCTGCCCATACGAATCATGTTCAGCCTTTGTCCCCCCTCAAGAAGTTACCAGAAGGATGCTGTAAGGAGAAAGTGGAACTCAATGCAGAGCCAAGTCCACCGCAGCCATTGTTATTGGCAAAAGTTGAAACAGAAAGGAGAAAACCTGACAATATGAGGAGTAGCTTGGACAGTATCCACTCTTTGCTGGAGGAATTTCAAAACGCGCAAAGTGAAAGCTTGGTCCAAACAGCCAAAACGCACCAAGAAAACGGGTTGGTTGTCTTGTCACTCAAGTCGCAGGAATGTGATAGCATGAACCCAGTGGAAGACGCCGTGAATGAAAACATGGGCTTTGAGCCTGGCTCTCCCAACAAGAAAGAAGAGTTCCCAGTGGCAGTCTCTGAACCACCATCTCCCCAACAGTCACTGGCAGCAGCTCAGATTTTGGTTGACATGCGTAGAAATCAGATTGTGAGTCACAGTACATGATTGTGCTTTTTGTGTTTTTCTCTCCTCCATAATTGATTTTGTTCAGTACTGCATGCAGATCTTGACATGTTTGTTGAAGGTGAAAAAAGGATGGGAAATATTTTTTGTGGGCAATACAGTATTATGGTTAAGACTCTAGAATGGAGAAAATATAAGTTTTGAGCAACGTCACTCACACCTATCAAACTCATTTTGGTTAAATGCCGCAGTTGTTTGTCTACATTACATTACCAAGTCTTTCATTCTCCCAAGTTTTCCTTTAGACAGTTTTACAACATGAGGTTTTTATCTGAGAATCAGCAATTCTGCTTTTGTAATACCTGAAAACATGGACTTTTAAAAAGCGGTGCACATTTTTATTGCTTTGACAGTCTCTCATTCTAAAGCAGCCACGTACATATCATTTATGTTTGCAAAGTACACTTGTGCCATTCATTCTTCAGAATACCAACATATTTGTCATAATTATCTGAAGGTGTCCTGTTCCGTCCTCTTCAAGTTCAAGGGACTCATCAATTTTCTAAGTTAACTCATGTTGATCTATTACACTGTCCTGAATATTGTGAATGATGTCTGAGGTTGAATGATTAGACTCTTGACCATTGTGCACCGATGTGAGTGTGAGTTTAACTGTCTCCATGGTTTTATGCACCCCGCATAATTTAGTAAAATTTTATCATTTTTTGCATAATTTCTTATTATTTTCCTTTATCATTCTTTATTAAAATTAACAGAATCGCTTAATTTCACATTTTTGGGCTCAGTTTGCTTAATTTTAGATTTTGTTTTGTTTTGCATAAAACCACGGGGACAGGTTTAAGTCTTGTGCGAGGAAGTCTATTTTATCATGTATTCCTCTATATTCTGCTGAGCTGCGGTATCCCACAAAAGCCGAACTGCGGTATCCCACAAAACCCGAAAACTGCGGTATCCCACAAAACCTGAAAACTGCGGTATCCCACAAAACCCGAACTCCAGTAACCCACAAAAGCTGAGTTGCTTGTGACAAGCAGTCAGAGTCGGCATCCTCCTACATAATTCACATTGTGTTGATAACTTACCTACAATCATTTTATTCCGACCGACTGTCCTGTCTGGACTGTTTTTCTCTCTGTCTGTTCAATACTGCTGGTCTATGTGGTGCTATAAAAATCACAAACAAATTAAATGCATCAACTTTATTTCAAGATATATAATATATATATATATATATATATATATATATATATATATATATATATATATATATATATATATATATATATATATATATATATATATATATATGTATATTTGTAATTTTACATGCGTGATGCCACGTGCTAAGAAATGCCACTCCCGCATCGTCATCTTTTCGTTGTCACAGCATTTTTGTATTTTTGTCATTTCTAGCAAGTCACTGTATTGACCTGTAATCTTGAAATATCAGTTGTTTAGTTTGCTAAAAACTGATTGTACGAAGCACTGACTTGAAACTTGAGGGCAGGCTAATAAACATTTTCAGACATTAATTTTCCCAGAAAGTGGCCATGAGACATATTCCCATGCAGTTACTGAAACTTTGACCCCTGCAAAGTTGCCCTATATTTGTAGTTGGTCTAGCCATAATGATAATAATGAAACTCCTTTTTATTTACTTAGAGTACCATATCACCACCCCCCCCCTCCCCCCCCGGGTGGTGCTACTGACTGAAGTGTCTTTAGGCCATTCCCATGTTCTTAATATGCACAGTAGAATTATAAATGGGCTGATTCATCAATGTCATGCTCATAACTAACTGTGCCTGAACTGCAAAAGGGAACTGCTGCTTTTTCTTTCTTAGTCCTTACAATCGTCATTTTCCCTCTTCTTCTTTTGTATGTTTGTTACACTCTTGTGAACTTCTATTTCCTGGGTGCCTTGATATAATGATAGTCGAAGCAGACTTTATGCTGTTGAAGCTAGAGAGGTGAGCAGAGTAAGCCTGATTCCCTGTAAAGACTTCTTTGTTGATATCCACCCCTTGGCGCTCATATGACCTTATGCAGTTGCGAGCGCCGTAAAAACTCTACTAAAACTAAAGAGTGCCATATCCCCAAAGGGCCTCTTCATAAACCTTGTGTTCAGATGACCATCATTATAAATGAATGGTAAAAGTTAGGTGAACTATGGTACTTAACCCTTCCAGCCCCGAGCGCGTATATTTTCAGCAGCGCTTGTACCTCCCACTGTCCCAAGAGTATATTCTGTTTCGGAGGGGTGGGGGTGTATCAGTTTGCGCATTTTTCGAAATAAGCGAACCTAATTAAAATTTTATTTTCATATTTGTTCATTTACCTATAGACATTGTTATATGTTATTATCTAAACCTCATTACAAAGATACTACGTCACTTTTTAGAATCCATGCTTCTCTTCCTGAAGTACTGCTGTATTGTCTGGGACTGGGGTTAGGGAGTGCACAGAAATGGCTGGGGCTGGAAGGGTTAAAAAACAATTCACACTCTTACTCATTGTACATTTTGTGCTGCCATGACTTTTTAAATTATTATGTACAATGGCTGTAAACATTTTTTTAAAACATTGGCTGTCCTTTGTTTAAACTGTATTCTAGCTATGTTGAAAATGTTAAGTTCATAATGGTGTCATTTAAAGTGTGTCATATGTGCTCGTGTTTGTTACACTTGCAAGTTGTTCCAAGGTGTGTGCGTGCGTGTCTGTGTGCGTATGTGTGTGTGTGTATGTGTTTATTTGTTTGTGTATGACTAGATCTATGAGTTTGAATGAGTGCAACTTTGTTGAATGCGTAAAAAGTACCATGTAGTTTCAGAGAAAATTCTTTTTCATGTTGACTTATTAGATTTGTTCGAATCTCTTGTTATGTTGACAACTTAAATGTTTTTGTAGTAACAAAGCATATCTCTTGTGATTTTTCCATGTTTTTAAGTCTTCTTAATCTGTTACTGTTATAATCATTCCTTATGATACAAATTAATGTGATACCCCTGTTCTGTTGAGTTTTATGTTTAATGTAGTGGATGTGCATAATTACCATGACAGGGAATCGATCCAGAGATTTTTAGTTGCTGAGCTTATATTGCCATTTGACTGAAGCTCAGTTTTACTTTGCGTTCTTATTGTAAAATCATGAAAGAATATGATGTGCCACAGATGCTTTTGTAAAATAGATTTAATTTTTTACAGCAGCATTGCTAAAATCTTTTGCCATTACTACTGATAAATCCAAAGGAAAACAAGTGGATCACTTGAAACCTTCAAAATCAATAAAACATCTCTACATTTTGCTCTTGAATTTTGACTTATAAATTAAGTGGGTGATTGGCAGGTGCTGTGGTGTGTGGGTGGTTGGCGGGTACTCTGGAGTGGTTTACTACTTCTTTCCTATCAAATATCAATCGTCTGTATCTCCCCTCCTCTCTTTTTGTGTTTGTTACTTTCTTGTAATCCCTCTAATCTTCGACACTTATACAATTTAGTAGTGTTGCAAGTGCTGTAACTCTTACTTTTACATGTATTAAAAATGACTTTTAAATGTCTTTGGTGACCGTCGGCTTAAAGATGTCATCATTCTGGCTCCAGTGCTTTTACTGGTCCCCCTTACCAGTGTCTGTGGAGTAATGGTTACTCTTTTTGCTGTTGCATACTGAAGATATGAGTTCAATTCCCATGTGGGAGAGGGTTTTTTAAAAATCGTATAATAATAATAATAATAGATAGCATTTGTATAGCGCAAATCTCCGCTCAGCAGCAAGCTCTATGCGCTTCATAATCTATACAATGTACCATTCTACAGTCAACTATGGCATGGACGAGTTGATGTCGTCAGGGGGTGGAAGGATCAACTCATCCTTCTTTGTACACGGGAATTGATGCTTTATAATAATAAATAAAATTTGAATAGTGCGTTCCTCTGCTTGACAGCCAGCTCTATACACTTTACACTGTAATATTATTACCCCAGCAGACACTATAACACTAAGAAACATTCTCGGGTTCCCGTGAAGTATACGGTGGAAGCAGCCGATTAAGCGCTGAAACACTAACAAACTGACAAGATATTTCGCTGTTCCCGTGAAGTATACAATGGAAGCAGCCAATTAAACACTGAAACACTAACAAACTGACAAGATATTTCGCTATCTATAGCTGTGTACCCATTCTCACCAGAGTGATGTGAGGAAAATTCATGTAAAGTGTCTTTCCCAAGCATACAACATCGGGCCCCTGGCGGTATTCGAATCTACGACTCACGACCTCACCGTTGGGAGTCCGAGAGCCTTTTTCTCTGTTGTTTCTGTCTGTCTCACTTTTTCCCTGCACTAAATCTGTCCCCGTCGTTTTATGCAAGAAAAATTCTGAAATTATGCAAACTGAGCCCAAAAATGTGAAATTATGCGATTCTGTTAATTTTAACAAAGAATGATAAAGGAAAATAATCAGAAGTTCTGCAAAAAATTTTCACATTTTGCAAATTATGCGGGGTGCATAAAACCATGGGGACAGACTAAATGACCATTATTGTGTTGATATGCTTCTCTTTTGTACCCTACAACAACAACAACAACAACAACAACAACATGCTTAGACGGATGAAATAACTACATAGAGCCAAAAGATCACCCCTGAAACACTCTGGCTTGTTAAGACGATGTTTTTGAGAGAGTAGATGCTAGTTTTGTCGCCAGAGGAAGGAAATTCAAGAATTTTTAATAGACTAATTGTGAGGCAGCGTGGTGGAATCAGGCTCTCGTCAATTTTTGGGCACAATAAGTTATTGGTATAATCTTAAAGCTTGTTCACTTGTCTTTATTTGGATGAAGAAAATATATGTTTATCTTAAATGCAAGTCGAGATATTTGAGATCCCAAAAGTTGTGCACTGTCGTAGTTTTCAGGAAAATAAGTCTTAAATGATATTAAATTGTGAGGCAGCGTGGTGGAATCAGGCTCTCGTCAAAATAATCAAAGTGAAGAAACTTGCATTTTTACGCAGGTTTGTGAATTTTTATCAAATTTTTGTTTTTTGGCTCAACACCTTTCATGTCCATTAAAAAACTCATTTCTGCGTGGATTTTTCTGAAAAACGTTGATTAAAGGCACAAAAAATGTAAATTTTCCGTTACCACGGACTCTTAAGCTAAGGAAATAACTAGTCTTTGGCGACCATTTTCTTACTAATTTTCCTTCTGAAAACAAGTGACCCCCACCTCCTTCTTTCGCAAATATCTCGACTTGTATTCAAGATAAATGGATATTTTTTTCATCCAAAGCAAGACTAATGAACAAGCTTTAAGTTGATACCAATAACTGTACATGCCCAAAAATTGACGAGAGCCTGATTCCACCACGCTGCCTCACAAATTGACCAATGGTGGGTGAGTGATACTGCCAAGCTGGCAGACAGGTGTTCTGATAACTGAGTAGACTCCTTCGGCCGGCCAAAATCAGAACAGATGAAATAAAACAAAACGAAATACGTTTCAACAATAATTATTTCTAATGTCAATTCCAAACATTTCAGACATTTGTTTCAATTTATCGGAATGTCTACCATCCGCTTTCCTAACAGCGTCCTGATGTGCAGGTTAAGACTCAAGCAACGGAATGAACAATTCTGTGTCAAATTTCTAATCTCCAAAAACTGACAGCCATAGGCCTATATCAAAATTGTCTTGAGAGCTCATGTGGTGTTTTTTGACTCTGTCTTTCACATTTGGGTCTAAATGTAACTGCCAGTCTCTCGCAGATCCAACATTTAGTTAGTTTCATTGTCGGAAATTAACGACATTTTTCTTTGCAAATGATGTCTCAAAATGCAAAAATACCATATTTTAAACTTATAAAACCCTACTCACTGTACAAAAATAATCACTTTAGAGCCATACAATGTTGAATTTGAGCTGACAAACTACTAGCCTTCATAAAAGTATGTAGGATTGCATCCTGTAGCTCCCAAACTCTAAAAGCTGGGGGTGGGTGGTGGTGGTGGTGGGGGTGGGGGGGGGGGGGGGTGTCTAAGGTAGGTATTGAAATGGCCTGTAAAGTGACATTCATAGCGTATCAAGTTCAAGGTTGGTCACCAAAAAAAATGACAACAAAATACAGTAAGGAATTACAGAACCAGTCAGGTTTTGTGCACTGTAAAAGATGATTTTTGCCCAAAACCTTTTTATCATGGAAAAGATTTTTGAAATTCCTGTCCCAGTGGTTTTATGCACCCCGCTTAATTTAGCAAAATTTGATCATTTTTTGCATAATTGCTGATCATTTTCCTTTATCATTCTTTGTTTAAAATTAACAGAATCGCATAATTTCACATTTTTGGGCCCAGTTTGCATAATTTCAGAATTATTCTTGCATAAAATGACGGGGGCAGAAATTTGCAGGGGATATTTTTGCAGTGTAGAAGACCAAGAAATTTTACAGTGAATCGGGAAAAAAACCCCAACCTCTTTCAGATTCACAGTAATCTATGTGAAGAACACAGTTGCTTGTACGTATTAGAATGACCACAGTGTAGTACAGTTGTAGTACCCATGTGACCTCCCGAACCACTTACTCGCTAATTCATTATAATTTTCGTGAGGGTGAAATTTTTACGCTTTGTCCACATTCGCAAAAAGTGCAAGAAGTTCCTCCAGGTGCAAAAGTACTCCTACAGCATGTAGGCGTAACATGATCATGATATACACATATATATAAATAAACGTGTGTGTGTGTCTGTGTGCGTGTTGTGTGAAAGTTTATAGGAGTCACAATGCTGAAAGCCGCATTATATTATAATAATTATTATAATAATTGCATTTATATAGCGCATATCCATGCTCAAGAGCATGCTCTATGCGCTTTACAACTATCATTACCCCAGCAGACCATCTGAGAACACTCAGAAACATTCTCGGCTTCCGCAGAAGCATATTATTTCTTCATATACTCTTTATTTTCAACAAATGGACCATACATAGAACAAGTAGCTTTCTGAGGGGTTCACTTTTTTTCTTTTTTCACGTTGGGTGATGCCGCCTTGTGCCCCAGTCCTACAGGGCAGATCGTTTTGTTGAGACAAGTCGAGCACTTGGGCCCCACGGGCAGGCAGGTCTGCTGGCCAAAACCCACCAGTAAGTGGTTGATCTCACTCCAGTAGGGCCTGCGACGAAGGAATTCAAAGTTCATTTCAAACACCAAAACATTGCAAATCCCTCTAGATATCTAGTAAAGTCTGCAAAAAAGAAATTAAAAATCCATTTCAAACACCAAAACATTGCAAATCCCTCTAGATAGATATATCTAGTAACGTCTGCAACAAAGAAATTCAAAATTCATTTCAAACACGAAAACATTGCAAATCTCTCTAGATATCTAGTAAAATCTGCAACAAAGAAATTCAAAATTCATTCCAAACACGAAAACATTGCAAATCCCTCTAGATATAGATATCTAGTAAATTCTGCAACGAAGATATTAAAAATTCCTTCCAAACACCTAGACATTTCAAATCCCTCTAATAAGGTCTACAGTGAAGAAATTCAAAATTCACTTCAAACACAAACGAACATTAATGGTATTGATACATGTAGTAGTAATAATAACTTAATGAATGATACAAGTAGTACAAAGATGGTGTAAAGAGCTCAAATTAAAAAGCGAACAACTAAACATAATTTCAATACTCAATGGACAAAATCACGTTTTGTATAAATTAAAAAGGAACTATAGCTATCAATCGAAAACAATGTCACCAAACAGGCTACATTCAGTTGGAAATTACAATTACCAGATCAAACACATCGTTATCTAAATTAAAAATATTGATTTTTTTCCCACCAGCCCTCACACTAACTAACACAGCCAACTCCACTCATCATGGCCTCCGCTAGCCTGACAATCCTACTCCTATTTCTCGCAGCACAATGTAATGTCCTCACTGTTTTTCTTCTATTTATTTTCTTTGTTACAAAAACTCGCTTACAATGATATCTTGAATCGCTTCAACTGACATCCAATCCAAATCTCATTATAGAAAAGATAAATCTTTATTGTCCCAACACTAGCACTTTGGTTTGGTGTTTCAACACACACACAAACACATGCACACACATACACACACACCCACACACACATACATGATATTATACTTTGTCATTCATCCTCTCTTCCATACAAACATACACACATAACAAAGGCTTACACTAACAGACTCACAGTCACACTTTCTCTCAAACCAATAAGACAAAAAGTAGCAAAGTATTATTTACAGAAACTTACTTATAATAACTTATACACATTACAGTGAGGGCAAACTGAACGTGGGGGGGGGGGGGGGCATTTCTCGTTCAAGCACAGTAGAATAGTAAATGGGCTGATTCATGTCACGCTCATAACTGCGCCTGAACTGCAACAGGGAACTGCTGCTTTTTCTTTCCTAATCCTTACTATTGTCATTTTTCTTCTTCTTCTTTTGTATGTTTGTCACTCTCTTAAATGCTGTTTTTGGGGTGCCTTGATAGCCGAAGCAGACCTTGTGCTGTTGAAACTAGAGAGGTGAGCAGAATAAGTCTGATTCCCTGTAAGGACTTCTCTGTTGACATCCACCCCTTGGCGCTCATATGACCTTATGCAGTTGCGAGCGCTGTAAAACCTCTACTATAAATAAAAAATAAACTGAACGTGACTTCAGACATTCATGCAGAAGATGTCTATACATCTATGCAGGAGAAGTTTTCACCTGCCTCTTCTCCCCACGGCCCATCTTGTCACACGTACACATACACAGCATGACGGGAAAGGTTTCATTTCAAGGGTATAGGTAGCCTACTTTTAAAAACTATCTGGATTCAAATGTACCACAATAGGCTTTGGTTCTCTGAAATATAACTGTCCATTTTAAAAAAGCATTTTCTAAAATTGTGTTTGTAGAAGTAAGTAAGTAAGTTTATTCAGTGTTTAAGGCCATTGGCCCACATCATATCACATAAAACACTCATTTGATAAGGATAAGTAAAGTTTCCATAATGAATAAGTACAGGTTGTGCACATATCTCTGATCATGGGTCAAACATTGCATATTTCTGTCACTGGAACGAGTTTGGCTAGAAGGAATTAACAACTTCCTTTGATGAACAATGTGTGAAGAACAGAAAATAAAGTGAAATTCATCTTCAATTCAAGAGAGTTACACCTCTCATATAAGGGTGAATTAGTTAATTTCCACTGATAGAGATTGTTATTTAAAGGAAGGCTAGATGGGATTTTAACAAAGCTATGACTCTTCTGTTCCAATACCGTGGGAGGTTGGTGATATACCCAGCTGTTTCTAGAAACGGAATTGTAAGAGAGAAAACATTATAATTGCGACAGACTTCTTCCTCTATGTTCTGCACAGAGTTATCAACAAGTCTACTGAGTTTGTAGACAAAACAAGGGAAAAGATTTCTTGCTCGTCCACTGAATAAATTGAATCATAGGATCGGACCAATGTAATCTGTGAGCTGACCTATGATAATGATAGCTCATTTTGACACCTCAAAAGTATGAAGTATATAAAATATCTTGACCGAAAAAAACCCCAAGACCTACAGCTGCTTGCAATATTGATTCTACTTCTGTGCGTCACACATATATTTTTCATTCTCTAACTCTTAACAGAATTACAGAAAAGAAAATATTTTTCTCCATAAGCTATTTTGAATGACCATATTTGTGCATCATGTGCGAGTCTCTTTGCTCCAACAAACAAACAATATGTGAGGCATCGTGGTGAAATCAGGCGCTTGTCAAAACAATGAAATTTTTCCGTATGTCTGGCAATTTTTATTGAATTTTCAAATTTATGGCTCAACACATTATACATCCATATAAAAACACATTGCCAAGTGAATTTTACCGATAACCATTGATAGGAGGCATAAAATATATACATTTTTAGTTTTCAAGGACTCTCAAGCAATTGAAGTTGCAAACTTTGGTGTCCATTTTCTTTCCAATTTTACCACTGAAACCAGGTGACTCCATCTCCTTCAATTGTGAATATCTCGACTTCTATTCAAGATAAATGGGCCTTTGTTTTCATTGAAAGCAAGGCAAATGGATAAGATTTCAGATGATACCAATAACTCCACATGCCCAAAAATGGAAAATGGCGTAACTTCACCGCGTTGTGACACATATGGTGCTTATCACACGCACCTTACAACTCGCACTTCATCCCTGGACACTTGCCAAGGTGCCTCTTCTGGAGAGGTAGTCTTGTTAGGCAAAGAGCTTAGTCTCCACTGGTTTAGTTAGAGTTTCCTCTTAAACATACACACTCACAGAGAGAGAGACACACACAGAGAGAGAGAGAGAGAGAGAGAGAGAGAGAGAGAGAGAGAGAGAGAGAGAGAGAGAGAGACTCTTAATAAGCTCAGAGCTACGTGATCTGATGGCACACCTGTCAGTGCTGATAGGTGAGGGGGAATGACTTCGTTCCAAATGTAATTATTTATTATATAACACATA